TGCACCAACCGAATAAAATCTGCATGATTTCAAGAAAAATAAGTATAGATAACTATTAACCCCAACTGTGCCTCCTAACATGACATATTTAAATTATTTACATTATTCGGACTATTGTCCTCATCTTTGTCGCCATATTTATTACAACGTTTCGGCGGTTGTACGCTCCGGCCTTCTTCAGCTGGTTGGAATGTCGAACTGAACCCAAATAATGTAAATAATGTACATAATACCTCATCTCAGAAATATAGACATGTCATATTTAATTTCTATGAGGTAACTCGTTCATTATTATCGTTTTAACAGGCATCCTCTACCTTGGGTGGCTGTCGAGCTTTATATTCGGTGAAATTTAGTATAAAAGAAACCCAGAGTGGTTTTTGTTTCAAACAGAGACACACATGAATATGCAATCAAGCAGCACACTGCTCAGCCTTAACATAGTTCAAAAGCGTTTTCCCGGCCTTATGAGCGGCTGATTATTTCCCACCCGGCAACCTTTTCCCACCGACGAAACTTGGCTAGGCTCTTTTCTATCGCTAGTTTCATGGCAAATGTTAGGGCGAGCTACATTCATTAGTTCCATCAGTTCAAATCTCCTCAGCTCGAATCCGTCATGCCACGTACATATGGTTGAGTCATCCCCACCCCTTCGTACTTCATTGGTAAAAAGGAAGTTCCACCCAGAAAGTTTCTTCCTTAGAAATGTTACTTTGGGGAACAGACTCCCCAGAAGATGCCCTCTTGGTCAATATGATCTTAATGTTATTCAAGCATAAGGCGAACCATATCCTACATATCGTCATAATATGCACTTCTTATTGACTTCCTTTACGTCTTTACAAGAACCTTATTCAGTAACCCTCTACCTTGTGTGACTCTTGAGCCTTTGTGACTATTAGTGTACAAAAGTAAAACCTAGCTGCTTAAAAAGTGCCCGTCTTACGGCGAGGAGACTGTTGTCTTTCATTTGACAACAATTAACACTCTTCAAAATGTAATTCTATCGTTACACGAAGGAGATTATTTTATTAGAGTGGATTATAGGATTAACAAAGATTAAAAAAAAAACTAAAAAAAAAAGATAAAAAAGAAAAGAAACAGATACCTCACGAATCCAGGCTTCTAACTTTCCTGCTGATAAAGACGGCTAACCAAAACTGAAGTTAACGACTTCCTTTCCTTACCTCAAATCTCACTTAACTGCTTGAATAAAACAAACAAGAAAGAGATACTCTTACGTAGCAAGCAAGAAAATAATACGTGCTTGGATTGTTAGGAAAGTTAAAATAGTTGCTGCACATTTAAAGATTAAGGGAGGCATAAACAGATTTCGTAATTCGATTAAAACGTGTTTGTCACGTGGACCAATCGGAATAGAGCTGAACGTACGTCATTTCAGAGATGGGAGATAGGAAACAAAATATAGATTCGAGTTATGGCGTTAAAACCGATTTTGGAAACAGCGAATAATAAAGGGGGAAATATGTCAAGAAAGAGGAGCAAGGGTGAAGAAAAAAAAAAAGAAGAGAAGTATAGTGAAAGGGGGGAGAGGAAAAGAAAAAGAGGAAAAGGAAAACGTAATGAAAAACAAAGCTATGAGGTTGATGACCACTGTTCAGAGCATGTATCTACTATATATATATATATATATATATTGCACACACACACACTTATATATAGATATATATATACACACACATTATGAAATGGACAAAGTCCGACAATTATTTTAAGAAATTTTTATGTTTAACATTCTTTTTATAGATGGTATTTATCAATTCACCCACAGGAATTGAATGTGGCACAAGGCCTTTTTAATGTGGGTATGTCTGAGCCCGTAGGCCCAGCCAAAAATAAAACCCATCTAAACCCGTCCAAGCGGGCTAGTTCCGTCAACCTCCCCGAACGAAACCCTACCCTTCGGCGGAGCCTCGTCCGGGTTCCTCTCTGCAAGCAGAGAGTTCGACAGACACCCGGCTCGGCAGCTCACAAAGCGCAGATACTACACTTTGATCCTAGCCACCGGGCCGAGCGGGTATTCTTTTTATAGATGGTATTTATCAATTCACCCACAGGAATTGAATGTGGCACAAGGCCTTTTTTAATGTGGGTATGTCTGAGCCTGTAAGGCCCAGCCAAAAATAAAACCCATCTAAACCCGTCCAAGCGGGCTAGTTCCGTCAACCTCCCCGAACGAAACCCCACCCTTCGGCGGAGCTTCGTCCGGGTTCCTCTCTGCAAGCAAAGAGTTCGACAGACACCCGACCCGGCAGCTCACAAAGCGCAGATACTACACTTTGATCCTAGCCACCGGGCCAGCGGGTATTCTTTTTATTGATACAAATATTTAAGTAAATGTTCTGTTTATAATAAACAGTATTAAACAACATTTACTGGCCTGAATGTCCGAGAAATTTTCACAGAAAATAGAAAAAATATATGTATATATATATATATTGCGCGCACACACACACACATACATACATATATATATATATATATATATATATATATATATATATATATATATATATATATATACACACACACACAGAGTCCGTCCCAAAAAATGTATACACATTTCAGGAAAGGAAAAATCTACTTCTTGGATAAAGTTAGCCATCATGTCCAGTGGGATTTCTGCACATGCAATCACTTGTTGATGCTACAGACATGAATGTAATGTCATCCGTCGAGAAAATATCGTAATACAATAAACAGTGTTATCGCAATTCGATAAAAACACTATGAAATACAACCCTTTCTTTTCCAGAAGTGTGTATACATTTTGGGCGGACTATATATATATATATATATATATATATATATATATATATATATATATATATTGATAGATAGAGGCACGGTGGAGTAATGGATAGCGTCTTGGATTCAGGGTTGAGTTCGAATTTCAGTCGAATCCATTCCATTCACTTACATGCTAATACCCTTATAAAAGGTATGAATCTTCTTCCTCCAGCTATGGGTAAATAGCAGGACAGACTAGGTTCTAAGGGCAACTCTGAGTTCAAAACTTGTGGCAGGTAGTGCACCAGGTTGCTGTATTCGGCCCTTCAAAAAGTGAGGATGGTTCTGCACAAAACCTTCACCACTAATAAAATCACGTGTACTGGTATCGGGATGTCAACTGAACTGCTTGAATCTCATACGTCTAATATATATATATATATATATATATATATATGTGTGTAACACTAATCGTGGCAAACAGCTACTCTCAAACTATCAGATCTCTTACGGTAATATAACATGCGACAAAACGGAAAAAGCAAATTCCTCGGAAAAGAAAATCCCACTTCATTTTTCCTTTCTCGTCTCGTTGAGAAAGCACACAGGCGTGTCCGAAAATTCCGACTTTGAAAAATCTTTCTTATCATGCTTCCATGTGGTCAAAATGCCTACTAATATACATTAACCATCATTAGTCAATATTATTTTTGTTGAATTTTTTTTATCACTCTAATTTCTTTCATCGGCCTATATATATATATATATATATATATATATATATATACTATGAAATAATTCCAACATTTATTTAATATATTTTCTGTTTATATCTTATTTTTTTTAAGTAAATGCATCTGTTTTTTTTTTTTTTTTTTTTTTATATAAACACTATTAATTACATTTACCGGCTTGAATGTTCGAAAACTTTCGTAGAAAATATGCGTTATCCGACAAAAATCGAACCTGTGTCCTATACAGAACCGTCATCTGACCTGGCGTACTATACCACTCAGCTACGGAGAAGCGTTTGTTTAGCAAAGTTCAAATTACTGTTGAAAACAACAAATTTTCGACGATCTTTCTCGAACGATCAAATCTGCCCACGAAAGATACCTTCACGTAAAGAGTATCAATTACATTTTTCAGGCCGATAAATGTAATTAATACTGTCTATTTAAAAAAACAATATTTACATAAATAAAGTGTATCTATAATAATAACGTATAACGGAATATATATATATATATATATATATATATATATATATATATATATATATATATGTGTGTGTGTGTGTGTGTGTGTGTGTATTTAGGCAGCAATCCTTCTTTCATGCACGTTTCATTGAATACGACAGACAAGGTGCTTTGATTTTTTTTTTATACAATTTCTCATACAATCTAATTATTTTTTTTTCTTTTTAGATGATTAATTATATAAAAAAAAACTGCCGAATGTTCTTTTTCTCCCGAGCGCTTTCGGCTATACATTTAGCCATTTTCAAGGATGAAATATTTTAACTGTTAAATAAGAAATAGTTTGTTACATGTATGTATTTATATAATGTTTTCATTTTTTCAAAACACTGTCAAGATATTGTGTCCATGTTCATAGTTGATATTATTGAGTGGTCATTTTTTTGTTTTTATTAATAAGGCTTCCGTTATTTTTAGGCTTCTTTATGCATGTAGATGATGTTATTATATTTGTGTTGTCAACAAGTATGTTTACGAATAGGTTCTGGTAGGTCTCCATGAATATCTAAAAATGAGATCTAATCCAGCTATGGTCAGAAAGATGTAGAGTGAGTCTTTGTGTCAAACATGTAGTATGGACTATATAATTATTTACGAATTTTGATTCATCAGGAATACAACACCTTAATGGGAATTTAAATTTGAAAATAATATTTGCCCCATTTAATTTTGTCCTAAGAGGTATATATATATATATATATATATATATATATATATATATATATATATATATTGATTTGATATTAAGGCTTGTCAGTCTTTTACAGATTATTCAAAGCCAGAAAATAATTTTAGATTCTAAGAAGTTTTTGGAGAGATAATAATTTTCCTACTAATTAACCCATAGCTGGGAGGAGAAGAGGCGGATTCATAATGTTCCCAGGTGTATTTGCGCACAAGTGAATAATAACGAACCCAAATTAAATTGGAACTCGGCCCTCCAATTTTCAATTCCGTGCCGTTATCCATTAAACCAATCGCACATCCATGCTTACAGCAGACGGTATTCCTAAGCGGTCACCCATCAAGGCATTGACCATGCTTAACGTTGCTTAACTTCGGTGATCGTACGGAAACAGGTGTTTCAGCATGGTATGTCTGTAAGCTGTCTGTTTAATTTTGTATTGCTTGTTTTTTCAATTTTCGGATACAAAAAAAAATTAAACAGGCAGACCTTGTTGGATGCAATTAACCAAACTATATATATATATATATATATAACACGGTCCCGACTTATTAATCGAAGAGCCGAGTTCCAATTCCAGTTGGGTTCGTTCTATTCACTTACGAGCACATAATGTTAGGAAAGATATAGATCGACCTCTTCTCCCCCTAGATATGGGTTAATAAGTAAAACTTGTATCGCTAAACCATTCTTTCTTCTGCAGTTCTTGATAAATTTTTCATTTTGTTATTTTTTCAAAGACTGTTCGGCAATCCATTTACTCGAGCTCACTGAGCATTTTCCTCTGTCTCTCTTGCCTTCAATCTGTCCTGTGAGTATCAGATTTTCTAAGCCCTCTTTCCTCTTCATGCGCCCGCGAAACCTCAACTGTCTGGTCCTGATGTTAAGCATAAGTTTCCAATTTATTTTCCATTTTCTCTAAAGCTTCGTCGTTGCTCACATGTTCGGCCCCTGATAGCGTCCCTATGAACAACATTTCTGTTGCTTCAAGTCTCTTCTTCATCTTTGAGGAGATCGTCCAGCATTTGCTGCCATACAGGAGGATAGATAGCGCGTAACAGCTAAATCATTATTATCTGACAATCGAAAAATATTTTCTGGTTTGTATAACCTGTAAAGGGTTGGTAAGCCGTAAAAAAAACGAACCAATTAATCAATCAACAGACAAAAGAAATAAAGCAATCTTTGCAGAGACCTGATCGCCTGTACCATGAAGAGACATAACATTTTAAAAACCTAATTTTAATATCTTCATATATCGGGAACGTATAAATAATTGTATATTCGTTCGTGTGCGCTCACGGATATATAAAACACAAACGATAAGGAAGGGAGAGAAATTAATGAAGAAACAATAATACGTCGATAGAATAATTGATATCCTTGGAAAATATGAGAAAACAAAGAATTAAGGAGTAAAAGAAAGCAAAATGACAAAGCTAGTGAGAATTCATTCACTGAATAAATTCACGAGATAAGGAGTGAATGATAAAAATGTGTTCAATCAAACTCAGCTCCTTTCGTATTTCGTATACATCTCAGTTGATATTGTCTGAAGCACTTCACAACACGAAAATGGTGGAAATTTTGTCATTGCTATTCTCCTGGCGGGGACAAATCAATGGAGTTGGTAACTTTGATGAACAGAAGCAAAAACCGACATTTGTTTATTGAAGAAGTGACTAATACAGCGCCGACAGAGACGCAAAGATGGCACCGTCGATTGGCTTTGCCGCCATTGGAAAAATCACGGAAAATGTTTGTCAGAGACAAAATAAGTGGGAATCAAAAAGTAATTCTCAATATTATCCACTTAGAGATTTCGATAATTATTCAACAAATTCTTATCTGTCCAACTTCATTTTACATGAAGAGAATGGCTTTCGTTTATTCCATTCTTCTTTTTAACAGTTTTGCTTGCCTTTTTCGATACCTGTTTAATCCTGACATTCTTACATCTATCTACCGACGTCTCTGCCACTTATGTATTACACAGAAATATTATCTCTCTCTCTCATATATATATATACAGGGTGTCCCAAAATAATGTATACACTCTTTTAATCGTTATAAAACTTATTCAGTTTATGTATTTTGACTTGTAAATAAGATTAATACAAGAGAAAGAATACACATTTAAAGAATTCGAGAGTAAAATATACAAAAAACACAGAAAATTAACCTTAATAAGATAAAAGCTACTTGGGGCAATGGCAGAATGTTCATATAATGATGGGTTCCCATCCAGTGCTCAAATTGGTTGCCGTTCTGTTCAATACACTTTTCATATCTTGAAGAAACAGACCTACAAATGTCCAGTATCATTTCCTCTGGCATTTGAGCACATTCTTCTTCAATTGCTACTCTCATTTCAGCAATTGTTTCAGGTTACCTGCTGTAAACTTTGTCTTTTAGACCCCCCCCCACAAAAAGAAATCCAAGGGTGTCAAATCTGGTGATCTAGGTGGGTATCCAACTGTCCCTCTTCTTCCAATCCATCTGTTTTGTATATTTTCATCCATATAAGTCCTCACATCACGGTAATGTATTATTAACTATTGATATTTAAAGAATGCATACATTATTTTGGGACTATATATATATATATATATATATATATATATAACTAGACTCGTTTCGAAAAACCCTCGAATTTACATAAGGAGGTAATAAAACATTATATAAAAGCTCCTAATAACATAGAAACTAAAATTAACAATGAGGCTAGCATCCTAATTAATAAATTTGAATTAGGAAATCGAGTTGAAAAAATAAACCTAAACACTTGCTTTATCACCATAAAAGATCATAAAAGTAACTTTATTAATAATCCGGAATATAGACTTATAAACCCTACTAAGACGGAATTAGGCAAAATAAGTAAAATAGTTCTGCAGGATATATGTAAATCCCTTAGAACTTTCCTTAATATTAACCAATGGCAATCTACTAAGGATTGCATTAAATGGTTTGAAAATTACAATAAAAATAAAAAGTGCTCATTTATTAGGTATGATATTAAGGAGTATTATCCGTCTATTTCAGAGAAAACGCTAAACGAAGCCCTTAGCTTAGCTAAAGAATACATCCAAATTTCTGATGATAAAATAAATCTAATTAGACATTGTAGAAATACATTGCTATTTCACGATAATACTTTATGGAAAAAAGAGAATATTAACGGTTTTGACAACCCTATGGGGAGCGTTTGATGGGGCAGAGGTGTGCGAGATAGTAGGGTGCCTGCTGTTCCATAGGCTTAATGAATATATAGACTTTAATAACCATGGGTTGTACCGCGACGACGGTTTAGTCATAGTGGACAATAGTAACCCTCAAAAATGTGACAACATTCGTAAAAAAAAGCACTGGTTTTTTAAAAAATTCGGATTTTATCTCGATATAGAAACCAATTTGAAAATTACCAACTATCTAGATATTACGTTGAATTTACAAAATGGCACAATATCCCCGTATAAAAAAGAAAATCAAGAACCCCAGTATTTACACATAAAATCAAATCACCCAGCCCATATTATAAGGCATATTGCTAAAAATATTGGGTATAGACTTTCTACTAATTCCTCCAATAGGGACATTTTTGAGGCCAACAAAATAAGTTATGAGCAAGCCCTAATTAAGAGTGGACATAAAAATAAATTAGAATATATAGACAACCACAACATTACTCGGAATAAACATAATAGGCAAAGAAAAATTTTGTGGTTTAATCCTCCTTTTAATTTAGCGGTAAAAACTAAAATTGGTAAGATATTTTTTAATTTACTGGAGCAACATTTCCCCCAAAATCTGAGTTACATAAAATATTTAACAAAAACAATGTAAAACTTAGTTATTGTTGTATGCCGAACGTAGGGACTATTATAAAAGCATTGAATAAGAAAAAAAACTAGGAATGATCCACGTAGTAATCCTCCTACTTGTAATTGTAGAAACAAAAACATCTGTCCATTACAGGGAAAATGCCAGCAAGAAGGCGTGGTGTATCAAGTGAAAATTTACAAAAATACTGAGGATACTAACCCTAAAACATACATAGGTGCTACTCAGGATAAATTTAAAAAAAGATATTATAACCACACGAGTAGTTTTAAGAATGCAAAAATTAAACATAGTACCACGCTATCTACCTACGTATGGAAAACCAAACAAGAAGATAATATAGACCCCATCCTTAAATGGGAAATATTAAAAAAAATGCCCAAAATATAAAGCAGGCCATAAATTTTGCAAATTATGTGCTGAGGAGAAATTAGCCATAGCTTTATATGATCAACCTAACCAGCTATTAAACTCTAAAACTGAAATTCTCAATGTATGTAGACATAAAAAATCTTGGCTACTAAATTAGACGTTTTCCCGTTATTGACTTTCCACTGAGGATTTTTTTTTTGTTGAATAAATATTTACCCCCCCCCACTTAGGTTGTTTTTTTTTTTTTGTCACGTGGTATGATTTAGCTATCACCTATAAATATGTGTTTCTCTTTGCCTCGTTAGCCAAACTTTCCCTGACGATCCGTTTAGGTGAAACCTAGGTAGGTTTGTCTGGCTCACTAGGTATATATATATATATATATATATATATATATATATATATATATATTCATATTCACAGATACATATATATATAATACATGTATATATATATATATATATATCACACAGGCACATCTCTTTCGCACGCGCACACACACACACACACACACACATATATATATATATTTATATATACATACACACACACACATATATATATACAAACATACAGTGCGATGGTTAAATTATCGTCATATACTTTTCATTTCGCGTAGTCGCCTGTTTTTTTTTTGTCGCTTGCATAGTATATTAGGGTTAGTTAATATCGTCTGAGTGCAAAAGAGCCACCATGACGCAATTCACTCCGCTAGAAATCTGGAAACAGAATGCTGTAGTGCTTGTCATTGGCGCCGGAAGCTTAAATACGGATATTTAAGAGTGTTTGGGTGATCATTAAATATGGTGACGTTATGCCTCTATTCATCTTTCCACAGGGCCTCAGATTCAACACGGAGGCCTACATCAATTAAATAGAGGAGGTAGTGCTTTCCTGTGTCAAGAGGGTGGCTAATGGAAGACCCTATGTCTGGTAACAGGACTCTGAACCATGTCCCACAAGCAGGAGTATCCAGTCATGACTGTTAGACAATTTCGCGACTAAATAAGCCCTTACATCTGGCCACTTAACTCCCCAGACTGTAACTCCCTTGATATTATGATGTGTGGGCGCAGTTGAGCGAGAGGGCAACAAAACACCTTATAACATCAAAGATGACCTGATGGCAAGAATTATGGCAGCATTCACCAACTTAAACAAATAGATCGTCCAGAAGAGTCGTCTGGAGGCTGCAATTGAA